TATTGGAATGTTACAATGTATTAATCCGAAACCGACGGCGGTAAACGAGTTCGTTCGAAAAACCGAGTATAAACCGACAATTTCCGGTTTTCGCGTCTCGTCTTCGTTTCGATTATTATATCAACACTAAAATATCTATAAGTTCGGTGTTTAAAAACAGTGGCGTAATCATAAGGCAGGCCAATCATGGGTGTCAAAGGTTCTCCTGGGGCTTTTTTTTTTTTTAATTATACAAGTATTAAAACTAAATTTGAGTTGTTAAATACAAACACAAAATAAATGTATATGTTTTTGATTAAATTTGAAAAAAAAAATGATAACCAAAAATATAGTTGATAACCTACTAAGGTTACACTATTAAAAATTATTTTCGAAAGACGATTACATATTTATTATCGCACGATTGATGGGAAACTGTTTTAGGTGTTGTGGTGGTTTTTTGGAGAGGGCGATAGAGGCGATCGCCTCCCTGGGCCTTTTTTATTTTGTCAACTGTTTCGTTTTTTCTATACTTAAACAACGGTTAATCATTGCTAACGAAAAACGATTCTGAGCGGAGTTCAGTTGATATAGTAATGATTTTTCAACAATATATACATGTCATATTATGGTAAAATAATTAAGTAGGCATTATATCTTTTCTTTAATAATATTTATTTAATATTTTATCGATTTTCATACAGAGGAATACAGAGGAAAATTTAAAATATATCTGTACGAAACGATTAATTTTTACTAACGAAAAACGATTTTAAGCAGAATTCGGTTATAATAAATGTTTTAAAAAGTTGTAGGTAATATTTACGATTTGAAAAAAATACATTTCGTATTATTTCGTCGATCGCTCCACTCAGAATCTAAAAAATACCTGCGTCCCTCGGTACCTAATAACTAAATATTTTGTCAGAATCGATTAAACTAATTGGCAAATCATACCGATAAACTCTAAAGACATATAACTGAATGAAGGATTGTAAACTGGCTGTGAAGCCAAGGAGAGTAGATCTGTTATTATAAATTGTATATAATTTGTTTGCGATTTAATATTTATTATTTTATTTATTAATTATTTTGTTTATTTATTATTATTATATTATTTAAGACAATATTAATAATATTATTATGCATGTGATAGCCGTTTTTTTCTTAAACCCTACCCCTAATTTTGATCACTGATTTTTTTTTTCCCACGAATATTTATACGGTTCAATTGGCTCGAAATGGATTCATATTCAAATGACTTGTTTTCAGTTCAAAATAAAATTCGCAGAGTTATTCGCATAGATGATAGATAAGAAATAATATTATAGATATTAAGACAGTATTAAATAAATAAATAATGAGTATTGAATTAATTGTTTATGTTTTATTCTCATCACTGAATTCGTTGCCACCGCCACCAGATGGCAGCCCATTTTCCTTTACACCAGGAACAGCTATTTAAAAAATTGTATACTTCCATGCATAAATTTACACGACATTCTCGCTGTTCAAAATATTGATGACTTAGGCAAACTCAAAATTCGGTCGGTCCACTAAATCGTTTATTTTCTATCATCTGTTTCCTCTTTTAACTCGTATTTGCTTAATAGGTACCTACGGCATATATTTTAGATTCTGAATGAAGTGAAGAAGTTTATAGTTTTACAAAGATGTTTTTTTTTTCTGTGGACAACTTTTCTACTAGAGGATTTGCTCCGATTTTCACATATAACACCTTTTATGAAAGGAAATCGGTGTGTGGAGGTACTTTAAAAATGTCATTTTTCGGTTTTCTCAAGATTTTTCTCATCAAATGTGAAAAACTGGAAAAAAAACATGGGAAAACCAGGTAAAACGTAGGAAAACCGGGGAAATCGGTACAACATTAAATAAATATTATTAGAGAAAACATATAGAGCACATTTAATTATTTTACTATGATATGGCATACATATTATTAACAAAGCACTACTATCAATTTAACTCCGCTAAGAATCATTTTTTGTAAGCAATGGTTTATCGCTGCTTACAGGTGTACAATAAATTACCTATAACAGTGGCTGCTCCCGTCGCCATTATCCTAGGACTTCTTTTTTTATTTTTTTTATGCTTTGCCACACTAATTTATTTAATTTGTTTCCTTCTATTTTTTCAAGTAAAACTGCGAATAATAAACTTATACACGAATTTAAACCTGCTACCTATATAATATTAAGTTTTTTTTTGTAATTTCAAAGTATCTAAACCATTTAATCGGTTGAAGACTAAAATTTAAATTAGACTTAAACTAGAGATAGGTTAACACAATCGTTCCGGTAGTTAAGATAAATCACATAATCGAATTGTAAATTATGTACACAATAAATTATTTAGGAGAATGATTTCCTCGAAAAAAAAAAATATACGCCCTTTTTTTAAACTGTTCTTTAGGAATACCACCGTCAATTATTGTCATCGTTTACTTAATGCGCATTTCTTATACATAAAAAAAAAAGTCACTATAGGAGTACCTGCTGCAGCGGTTACCTACCTGATGTGGCGATGTGCTATACATATTATATACCAAGTAAATCCTTCAATTATATATTTGTATACAAAAAAAATAATACTATTCGATTATCGAATTACAAAAGGCGCTCGTTTGAATCAAATAATTACGGGTAGTTAATTTAAAAAGGAAAAAAATAACATTTTTTTATAGTACCTATATTATGTTCACAATAACGAAACGGAAATATTGTATTATTGTAAGTATGCTTTAATAATATATATAGATAAATATTTATACTATCTTATCTTTTATACCTACCTACTTAATTGTATTTGTATTGTACAAAATAGATATCTACCTCCTAATAATACAAAACGAGAAGAAACGATAATAGATTCGGGAAAAATACCTGCTATTTTTTTTTTTTAAAGAAATCGCTATGTATTCTGAAAACTTGTATAGTATATTTAATATAATTGAATTTTTTTAAACGATTTTTCAAAAACCCAATCGCGTTTAACTACTACTTGGGCACGATACATTGATAAAAAAAACTTGCCAATTATTTATGGTATTTGGCGCTTGTAGTTTTTATGTCGAGGTATCTGATTAAATCTCAATTAAGAAAATGAGTTTATGGCAGTTGGGCAATAGGTATTTAAAAAACGAAAAACCGCCTTATTTGTTGGTTTTATATTCGAACAAAATATGTTTACACGCCACACGATTAAAATCACGATCAATTCTTCTTTAATAACAGTTACGAAAAAAATAAATATTTTGTTTTACTATATTTTCACTAAGCAGTGCTCAGACATATGCGCAAGATAATATTTGTGGAAAGTGGTGCGTTTTATTTGTTAGCTCTATTAGTGTAACAATGACCAAATGTGTGTGAGAAGAAAATATTTTTGAAGTCTTGTCTCCATAATAGGTTTTCTGAAAAGTCGGTTAAATTCAATTATTTCTAGGGTACGCCCCTCGATTTTCAGTAAACAAAGTCACCCTTCGAAGTTCATCCAACTTCAACCGTTTTGTGCAGGTACAATATTAATAACAAGGCGCAAGTCAAAGCTTTAACATTGACCTGTTGTCAAACATAAACCTAAGAAGATCAGAAATTTGAATAGCGAGATGTACGAGTAAGAGCATGTGAAATATCACAATTTATTTAAAAATGCTTATTATATCTCGCTTGAGAATTAAAATATCGAACAAAAGCCGGTATAGGTGCACTGCAGTTAATCTTTATGTGTTGTAATAGGTCAATATTCACTTTAATATTAAAATTAACAGCGTCAATCTTGTACGGGTATAGAATGTAAAAAAAATTATACCGTTGTAGTCGTGAAAAATGAATAATATTATTATAATAGCGAGTACATATATACTATGATGATCGTTACATTCGGTTTTATTATTATTATTATTTTTTTTTTTTTTTTGTTATATTTTTTCGCATTTTTTTTTTATAATTTATATTCATTCGCCGGTGCAGAGACCTTAATATATAAATCGTTTTTTATTTATTCTTTTTTTTTTTTTTATGTCAATTATTCGACCCGCGCTACTGCAGATTTAATCGGATCCCGCCAAATAATACGCGCGCGGATGTGCGAATATACAGAATTAATGTGAGTTACGATAAGAATAAAAAAAAAAAAAAAAAATACTCACGTCATTGTATATATACCAATATAAATAATGCATTATATTATTATACTGCAGCGGGCGTCGCCGATGTTTTTATTTTATTTTTTTAATAGTATTTATCGCGAGTGGAAAAAAAACCCCGAACGAACGAACGGAGTATAGTTTTTTTTTTTTTTTTTAAATGATTTTGTCAACTCGCTGAACCGAACTCGCGATTTAGAGCGCTTTCAGACGAGACACTTTGTGGCCGACTACTTGTGTCTGAAAAGAATCGTTATTTATTTTTAATATTTATTGACTGGGTGAAATTATAAATATACTAGGTAACTATTATAGGTAAGATATAAGATATAAGTTATCTTATACGATTTTCTAATGCGCAACCAGTAATCACGTATGGAGCTGATACTTGACCATTAAGCAAAGTTGAGGAAAGAAAACTTTTAGTTTTAGAGAGAAACATATTGCGAACATTTTTGAGACCGGTAAAGGACACGTTAAGTGGGGAGCAGAGAAAAAATTGGACTCGGCTCCCATACAATACATCTTTAAATAGGCTTCTCACTATTAGACCTGAAAAGAAACACTCAAATTATTATTATTCGTATTTCTTTATTTTTGATAAACGATTAAACATTATAACGGAAGTGAGTGAACTTCATATTTTTTGTTAAACCTATACCTACTATAATTGGATAATAATAAAAATGTATAAATCAAATAAATAAAATAATACAATCCCTAACCAAATTTTAATACCTATAATTAAGTATATATTATGATTATTCATAAAACAAATGTATTATCATTATTAAAAATGACAAAATCATAATATTACTTTAATTTACGCATGAGGCGTTTAGTCCAAGCACTTCTACGTCCCATTCAGCCTGCCACCACTGCCAAATTCGGCACTCGACCTCCTGTTCGCCCTCATGAGGACTGGTTCCATTCTTGAGCACTCATCGCTTAACGCACCATCCAAGTGCCATATGATGAATCGGAGTCTCACCTGCCACCACAAATATCGTCGAGGTCGAAACAGTTCCATAGGCACAATATGCCCTAAGAGCCATGTTACTTTATGACCCTAATAACAGTTGACAAAGATTTTGGTATACTAGGGAAGAATCCCATACCGGAATCGCGTAAAATAACTGGCTTTGGACGACAAAGACAAGAAGTTTCCTCTTGATAGACTTGGGGCTACCAACGTTGGGCATTAGCCTGTAGAGGCTTTTCAGCCGAACCTTTGATATATGGTTTTTAAATTCGAGTGACGTGCTGAGCTAGATTCCCAAATAACGCACCTCAGCTTATAGGACAATTAACTCTTCTCCAAAAAAATAATCTTGATCGAACGTACTCACGTTTAGTAGTCAGCATGATCGCCAACGTTTTAGCAGTGGATATCTGGAGATCATTGTACACCATCCATTCGTCGATCAGGTTTAGGGCAGTGTTCAGTGCATCTTCCAATGCCTCCGTCGTTTTGCCAGTCCCGATCACTGCCGCATCTTCCGCAAATCTTATGAGACAAATGTCACGAAAGCGTGAGGCGGAGCAGCTTATCGCAAAAAATGTTCCATAGCAGAGGTCCAATGACTGAGACCTGCGTTATAGGTTACTTCGTATTAGGCGTTGTCAATGTGCAGCTGTCTGTCCGATAGGTAATCCCTAAACACTGTCTTCAGGTACGGTGAGAATTTCTTCTTGACAAGTGCCTCTCAAATTCTATGCCAAAGTAAGGAATTAGAGCGTTCTCAACGTCTAATGAAATCATTGCACATAATTTCCTACGGCGAAGTAGACCTTTGCTTTCATGTACAATGCCTAGGAGCTCTTCAGCTCCATCAATAGTTGAGAGTCATTTGCGGAAACCAAACTGATTTGCGGAAAAGCCGTCAGAAGTGCTAGAGAGGCGGGTTTCTCGCTTGAAAGATTTCCCAATGATCAGAAAACGATAATACGAAATATTCTATGAAAAACGTCTGGGAATACTGAAGTCCGTGAGAAAGACCAAAACGAATACGAAATATTAAAGAGCAAAATGTATACTCACACTACTAACGCAAACGTTATGAAGGGCAAGTTCAACAGTTGTGAAACATATAATACTTTGATGATTAGAAAAAATGATCATCTCGAGTCCGAAATCAAAAAGATAGAGGTTGAACATGAAAAACAACTTGGGCGAAAAGACGCTGAACTAATTACACAACTGGCGGAAATCAAAACTCTAAAGCAAGAGATAGAAAAATAAACGTCCCGGGATAATGGGGTCAGGTGCAGCCACTGTTATAGATAATGCATACCTGTGAGCAACGATAAACCTAACCGACGCCCGCTGCGGTAGCGCACGACTCGTCGCGTGGGAAATTAATTATTGCAGTTTTCGAAAGGGGAGAAGAGGTGGGCGAGGAAAATCATATAATATAAAGACTGTTTTTTTTTCCACGGAGATCCATCACTCTTGCGGGGGGAGAGGGGGTAGGAAGGGTGGGGGAGCGACGGGTATCCGCGGGTGTACCACGACGTGTGGAAGGAACGACCGCCGGTGACTCCGTGTCGAAACTCGCGTATAATAACGATAATGTGAAAACGTGTACAATCGTACTCGGGATTACCGGGAATAATACAATAATATTTTTATATTATACGGACATCTGTTCGGATGATATAGACGTCTTTTTGAGGTCTGTATAGTATATGTTGGCAATAATAATAATAATAATAATGTACTGTCGCGGTACACCGAAAAAAAAAGAAAAAGAAAAAAAAGCTAGGTATATTATTAGCTAGGTGTATAATAATAATGTACTCGCATTGGCAGCCTCCCTCGCGGAAATCGGATTTTGACAGGCCGGGTGATCGAACGGTTCTAGCGCGGTGTAATCGCGACGCGCACGCAGCCGTGTATGTTTTTTTCGGAGACGGCAGCCGAATCTCATACATCTCGCATTATTATTGTAGAGCATATAAAGAGACCATTGTGCTTATTATCGAGTCCCGCGCGTGTAATAATATTGTAATGTCTGAGAAAACCGCACGGGAGCGGCGTGTTTCGGAGGACACCTACCCAAATTAGAACGGTCGAATCGCATTATGCGACGGGGTCCGAGAAAAGAAAATCCGGATCGTTGTTCTACCACCCACCCCGCCGCTTCGAAACCGCGCCGCAATAATAAAACGGTATTCGGTATTGAGGGCGTGCGTTCGATTCCCGCATTAGACGATTGTGTGTGTACACATAAATCAACCGATTATTGTTTTTGTCGGATTTCAAAACGGTTCTAACGGAGAACGGCGAAACAGGAGTAGTCGCCGGCAGGTGCAACTACAGACGAACATTTCATGATGGTATGAGATTTTTCGGAGTATCATTTTTAATGTATGGAAAGTGATATACAAACATTTACACTCCACTTCAGTCGTGCAGACCCGAAGCACTTTCGACAGCGACGACGAAATCGCTGTTGTTATCGCGAGAAACGTTTGGTCGTTGTTTTTTCGGCGGTAACGACAACACCGGTCACGTGGTTGGGAGCAACAAGTTTTACCGGCTCTAAACCGTTGCGGCGCGCCGCGACAATTAACGTTTTCCGTTTCCATTTCCGCGCGCGAAACCAACGCGCGCGAGTTTCCCGGCGCGGGGTCCTAAAGGCGAATTTATAACGGCGCCCCGGGCGCGGTTCCGACTCGACGGCGCTACCCCGCGGCGTGCCGCTCCGTCGTAAAACCGTCTCGTCCGCCGTTGTCTGCGCAGCCCGTGCCCGTACACAACGCTACGCGGCCGCGCCGGCGGACGCCGTCGCGCCGCGCGTTACAACCGTTTTCGCCGGCGCGTCTCGCCGCCGGGTTTACGGTCGCCGTCGCCCCGGCGTAACGCGGGCCGGTTCGCGATACGCGCGCGTCAGTGCGGCGACGGCCGCCGCTCGCGTCCGCCGCCGCGCCACCGTGCGCTATCGCCGTCGCGCCGGACGTCCGTCAACGGCTCGACCGCGACGCGGGAACGTGAACGGACGGCGCACGCAAACGCGGCTCGGCTCGGCGGGACTCGGTCGTATCGGTACGACGATAACGACCGCGACGACGACGGCTGTACGCGCGCGCGCGCACAGGTACCGCTTACGGCACGCAGCCATTATTATGGCCCGACCTGTAGGGCGGGTACCCTCCTGTTGCGGCGATACCCGCGTAAGTACGTTGTCAATCACCGCGACGGCGGAGTCCGGAATCGCGGGTTTGACGTCTGTATAATATCGTTATTATCGTGTCGTGCGGCGCACCAGACGACGGCGACGACGATAACAATAACCGCGCGGGCAAACACGTTTCGCGTAGCCGTGCACGACCGACGGTATTGCTATGCCGCGCTGCGTACCACGCGCGTACGCGTTGCCGTCGACTCTCTGCGTGCGACAGACGATTGGAAAAAAAATAAAATAAATAAAAAAAAAAAAAAAAACGATAATTCCTAATAATATTATTACGCGTGTTCTGCTACCTATAATATCGTGCGAACGGCGCAGCGCGGCGGATACGTTTTCCGAGTCTTATTGACCGCGCGGAAACTCGCGGCGCGATGTGATATAACAGCGTACGCGTATCATGAATAATTGAAACGAGTACGCGGCGTCGTATTCAGCACGGGATACCGGGTACGGTCACGACGTGCCCGTACCCGCGCGCGTATTTCCTAACCAATAGTTATTTTACGGACGTACCATTAACATTTGATATTTAATGGTTTATTTATTTGATATTTTTTTATCGTCGAATGGGGGAAAAAAAAACCGGAGGGAAAACGGGAAAATGTACGAAAGGCAGGTGGGTATTGGCCGAAAAATATGTCGGCCTTTTTTTCCCCCGTGAACGGCTTTTCTGCTCCGGTTCACTATAATGATAGCACTTTTATTGAAAAAGGAAATCTGGCTGATTTGAAAAATCTAAATATGACAAAAAAAAAAAAAAAATGATCGAAAAACATGGGGCGAACACGCTTAGCGAATCACTCCGTACAATATATGTTCAGTATAGACGGTTTTGAAAATGTGTACCCGGTACAATGGCATTGAATGCCGTCCAAGTTGTAACGCGTATTGATTTCCTTACTGTTGAATTACGATTTTTATAAAATATTTCGAGATGATATCCGTGTCTACGAGTAAATTAATACTGCGCCAGTGGCACACAAATCGATTTGCGGGCTGTTAAAGCCACGCCAGGGGTCGATAGTATCCAATGAGCTCTCATCGCGCACCGACCCACGTACATATCCACAACATCGTAAATTACCGTAAAATAGTAAGTAACTATAATTTATAATAGTCCAAATTCATCAAACCGAAACGTATTATAATCTTAAATCATAATTCAAGAGCAAGAAAATGAATACACATTACAACTTGAACGGCATTCAAATCGAATCGGGTACAATTTTTCGAATTCATCTATGCCGAATATATACAGTAGTGGCGGTTGGGGGGGGGGTATACGTGGGTATACGGCGTACGTACAATACGCTATTTTCACCCATGGCGTACAGCTTACCTACGACCAAAGACCGGATTTAATTGATATTGAAACTTTTTTTGCAATAAAAATAGATCAGATCTGATTAAATGTACAGCCGATGTGTACTAAAAAATATTCTGCCTATTTAATTTTATAATGAAATTATTCAATATCCTCACGTTTTCTAAACCACAGGCGTTTATCGTTCGTCTGGAATTTGTTTAGCCCAGCGAACGATACGCGTCTATATACACACGTACACACGTATGGTGGTAATTTAATTCAACGCAGTACAGCGATTCGTGTGCGCTTACCTGTTGGTATATATAAATTACGTGTTTGAATTGTAACATTATTATTATTATTATTATTTTTTTATATATTTATATATATTGGTAAAATTTTAAAATGCTGAAGTATTATGACGTTGGTTGACACACCATCTATTTCAGATAATAATATGAAAAGCAAATTTTTACTATTATTATTAATTTTTTTAATTTTTTTTTTTTTTTACTTCGGCGCATTTTGGTACTGACAGTGCGACTGATACTTGTTTTCAGCGAGGTAAGCTGAATACCTCAAATAATATGCGTATACAATTGTATGATTTTACGATTGATCGATTTTGATCGAAAAATCTAAGATTCATACGTACATAAAAATAAAAAGACTGACATGGTTCACATGTGGGTGCAGACACTAATGTAGGTGGGAAGTAGGGAAGGTAGGATACAGACGGGAAATTCATATTCACCTGTGAGCAACTATGAACCATTGCTAACGAAAAAACGATTCTGAGCGGAGTTCAGTTGAAAGTGATGCTTTTTTGTCAACAATATATATATATGTCATAATATAGAAAATAATTAAATAGGCATTATATACCATGGTATTTTCTTTAATGTACCGATTTTCCCGTTTTCCTCAGTTCTTTTCAGTTTTTCACATTTTTGAAAAAAGTCATAATTAATTTTTTTTATAATAAATGGGAAAAACTTAGGAAAAACGGGAAAATGTACGAAATCTATTTTTTTTTTTAAATCGTAAATATTAAAGCCTATCAAACCATGTATAATAAAATTCCACTCAGAATCGTTTTTCGTTATCAATGATTAATATTTACAGATATACATTAAATTTCTACTCTACCTTCCTAAGTCCTCACTTATAACAGTGGGAGGTTGGGTTAAGTGGGCGCATCGTGCGAAATATGTCCGTTTTTTTTATTTTGTAAATTGCATTTTGCGTAAAGGGAACAAACATTCGGAGAAAAACATTGCATTCCTTCCAAACTTTTTATTTGTTTTTTTTTTTTTTTTAATTTTCATTTTTTAATTCGCTTTGTAACAAATATCGTTCTAAAATTGACGGTTTTTATATATCCGTACATACCGTATTGTTCTTATAATCGGCCGTTTTAGTTTCTAGAGAAACGATACGTGCACGATTATATTCGACAGGTCACACACTATTACGTTATCGGACGGTTATCGTTCGGAAACCGTTTATCGGAGGATACGCATACTTATGCGCGGTACGTGTTAAAACATTCGGAACAATATACATGTGCACGTGATTTATACGAAGCGACGGTATTGAAAATGTCGTCGAAAGGCCGTACGTCGGCGGTCGGAGGGCGGACACGAAACGCGATCGAGCGAAAATATTGTCAATGTTAACGCGCGTCGCATTGGAAACCGGCGGGACGACGCCCTGCGCGCGCGTTAAACAAATCGTGTATCGGACGTATCCGCGCGCATTTCACGTGCGTTTCGAAAAGGCCCGGTGAAATATCGCGCTCGGCCCCACCCCCCCTTATCAATTCGCGCGCTGACAACCAGTCAAATATCCGTGCGGACCGAGAGCGGTCTCGTTAAAAGCTCGTTATTGCGCGCGCGTAATGTCGCACCGGGCGGCGAAATATACGCGAAAACCGCGTAATTTCGGACGCGTATCGGAATTTATTGCCGTATAATGTTGTTGTTGTTATTGCTATCGTTATCGTCGTCGTCGCGGGCGTACCTCCACGCGCGGGGCGGGGAGTGTGATGAGAGGACGGGGGGAGGGTTCGCGGGCGTTGCGCGCCCCGTGACCGGAGGACCGTTAAAACGCATTTATACGCGTAACAAATAATGTAACGCGCGATAATATCGCGTATATTGCGCGTATCTCGCTTATTGCGTGTATGCGTACAGAGTAGCAGTAGTAGCAGTATACGACTGTAATGTACCGGGCGCGGGAGACCGTACGTGTGTGTGTGTGTGTGTGTGTGTGTGTACATTACACGGGACGCCGGACCGCGCGTCCGATGAGTAATGTTCGGATCGGGTACGGGGTGCGGGCTGTGCGGTGTGGAAGAGAGCGAGAAAGCTCTGCGGATGAAACGGCGCGGCGGCCGCGGATACGGGCACGGTGGGTGGGGGAGGGGAGACGCGGGCGGGCCGCGCGATGACGGCGAGTTTGTCGTGAATTATCGGCTAATATTCGCGCGCGCGGTGCCCCGCGATCGACGGGGCGGCGGCGGCCGGGACGCGGTAGGGATCGGATTCGGGGACGGTGACCGAGGCAGGGGGGGGGGAGAGACCCGGCCGCGGGGTTCGACCATTGGTCCGTTCATTAGGAACGCAATTAAATACGCTGCCGTAGCGGCGGGACGCGCGGGCGGCCGTTATTGCCGTTTTATCAGCCCGGCGCAGATAATAGCAGTAGTAATAATAATAATAATAATAATAATAATGATAATAATGATAATAATGATAATATTACAGCCGCGGTCCTCCTATCCGCGCCCGGCGCCCCTCGCGAGAACGCCGACAGGAAAGGCCCGCCGCCTTTTCTCGCCCCGTCGCACTCTCTCGCCGTTCGTAATACCGTCCCCGTTTTGGCCGTCCTATTTAACAATTAAGTCGCGGGATTTAACGGCGCGATACGTGTACATGTGTGTGCGCGCGTGTACGTGTGTACGCGTGTATGTACGTGCGTATGCGAACCGGATGATAGGATATTATCCCGCACGCACACACACACGCACACACAACACACACACACACGCATACAGCTCGTCGAGGGGAGACCGTTTAATAAAATAGATTACATCTCTATATTGTTATTGTATGTGTGCCGCGCGGGCGGGACCGCTGGAACGGCTGCTGGAAGGGATCGGATTCTCCGGCCAGAGGTCGAGAACAAGCCCGGGCGGGGCCGGTGCGCGCGCGGTCGTTCGACTGGCCGTGCGGCGTCCGCGATAGAACCGAACTGGGCCGACACCCAGCGGCAGTGGCGAGCGAACCCTCCCCCCGGTAACACTGCGTAACGTTCCGGCTGTACGAAATGCATTTCGCGTACCGCAAAGGGAACGCAATTAAATCGGGTTCAATAGTTTTACGTCTTAATTGTATTATCTGTTAATTTCTTCTTTTTTTTTTTTTTTTTCTCGACGGTTGTCGAAAAGAACGCCCTAGCCATCACAACTGTCCGTATACGACACACTACGGGCTGAACTTAGCTCTAGCTTTGGGCGGGTAACGGGACAAAATTCCGAAATAACGATAAATGATTATTTATTAATTATTTCGTCAACTCCCAATTAACCCCGATAATCGTCGAGACTATTATGAATAAAGTAGTTAGTCGTAAACCCCATTCCTCCCCATAAATTCTACGTGAATTCGTCGAGTTAGAGTTACGGGTTCTCAATAGTTACAGATCGTTACAATATGAAGTTGAACCAGGGACGTATCCGAGGGGGGCTAGGGGCCCGTACTCCCCCCCACCCACCCCGACATATTATTTCTCCAATTTTTTTTTTATAGATCCTGATATTATTTTATGTCAACCACAAATATGTATGATAATATAAAATTTTTTTTTTATTATACATATCTGCGGACCATGATTCCAATATTGTAATTTCGTTTTTACGTGTTAATTGTTGGCAACACAAGAGTGCGCCACGTCGCCACCAAAGTTGATCCCGGATAATCACAAATAGATTGTGGTCGGTTTAACAATACTGTGGTTACTATAACTGGAACCACAGTCATTGACATATTGACATATTTCGTGTTGTGAAAAAAATTGTTGCCTCCCCCAGATCTTTGCTCTGGGTCCGTGCCCGAGTTGAACACGTTATCCGGTTGTCGAGAAAGGGTGAAAAAAATGTTTTAAATATGTTTAAATGCCTGTACTTGTGTGAAATATTAATTTTGGTGCAAATGATATGTCAATTTTTGTACCTTTGGCACTTATGTCACATAGCCAGAATATCGGAATGCGAAACAATTTTAATGAAACAATTGAGTACCGAAACCAGAACCGAATGATATCATGTGCTGTGATAACTATGCCGCAAAATAATGACTGAACCATTTAACAGTTTATAATTTATCGTATAAACGAGTATTTTTACCGCATAGATAGATATTTTTTTTTCTTACGGCTACCTCGCAGACGATATTTTTACTGCTTCAGCGGTTTCTGTTTTATCCGTAGGTATGCTATTTTTTACCGATTTGTTTTTTTTTTTTTTTCCATTGAAATATGTTTACATAATTATAATTGCGTTCATTCGGTTCGAGTGTACACTGCACCGGAGAACGATACCTAGTTAAACCGCATAATGTAGACATACGAGTTATAATATTAGCGGGGACGACACATTTTTTTATTCACGGTAAAAATTAAAAAAAAAATCGACACAATAAACGAACGCTAAATACTGTTTAATAATTTGTAATTACAGTACGATTGCCTATACTACTCGTTAACTAATTAAAGCAATTAATTATACGCTGTTCGTATAAATACTAGGTAGGTATATAATAGACACGTTTCAAATGATTTGTTCAAGGTCTGCGTGTCTTATAGAAAAAAAAAAAAAGTTACTAATAATAATAATAATAATAATAAAAAAATCAATAGGTACATATTTTTCTAATTATTTACGTGGGTACACTGTTGTACGTTTCGCCGTGCTTACTTACATTATTATTAACTCGCTGGAACGTTTATTGCGACGGAGGCGTCGAAACCTTCGCGCCAATCTGTCGAAACGCATTCGTGTTTCGCGTACAATTATAATATTCTCAACGGAGCTGATCCGGTTTTCTCGAGGGCGAACCAATAAACTATCGAAAACTAATAAAAAAAAAAAAAAAAATATTTATAATATTATATTTCCGATTTGACGGCAATTTAAACCGTAGTTTCATCTCGGCTGTACAAACGAATCCAATCCAGAACGGAGACTGATTTCCACACAATATTTTCATTAAAATGACGCGCGTTTCATTTTGGTTTTGGTTTTTGTGTTTTCTTTTTTCATAACAGGAGGAACGGAAATTTGCGTTCGCGTTTATCACGAACGGGAACTCGTTCCCGTTCCTCGTTCCAAGCCGCGTCCAATGAAAGGACCGCGTTCCTTTCCGACACCGAGAAGAATACGGTTCGATTATCCCGGGCACCTTGTACACCGAAACACGTATAAAGCACGCGTATCCAGAATCGATTTCTAATCGTTTTTCCGTTTCCATTTTTGGTCAATAACAACCGAATGTAATCCGAACGGCTGCACTATTATGACTGCCGTCGCCGGACAATATTCGAGCGACGACGAGTTGTGCTAATACCAGATCTATACCGAATCGAGATTGCGAGGGTCTTTTTATTGCGCCCACGGGCGGCATATAAAAAAGATCCGTTGCGGACCTTTGTGCGAACGGGGCCATAATTGTATAATTCGAATCGCGGATGCCTTTTTTCTTCTTCGGTAATATTCCAGAGAAAAAGAGCGTGGGAAATATTCTCTATTCCAGTTCGTGTAATTTCGGTATCACGCCGTCAGTGTCAGTCGGACCGCTGGCCATATTTTACAGGGTTTTCGGAATTGACGTTTCTAAACGCGACTCGCGTAAAACGTTCTCGGAACCGTATACTTGAATTTTACCAATGTTCCCGTTTTTATTTACGACCCGCGCTAAAAATTCCCGCGGTAAACACGCGAAGTCTCGGGTTCAAATAAATTTCGGATTTCCGAGTGGGCGGTGCATCGTTTGTGTGGAGCGTTTGAACGGTGCTCCGCCACGTGCCGTGCCGGTTTCGAAATCGAAATGCGGAATATCCCGTCGGCTCCCGGGGGACAGTTGACGTCGCACGCGGCGCCCCCGTACGAGCAACGCCAAGCGTACGTCGCTTGGCAGTGTCATCGCGGCGAAACGCTCGTGCTCGGACCGCGTACGCGTACGCGAAAACGCGTGCGCGCCGCGACGCTCGGACCGATATCGCCGCGATACCGTTGCATTGTTAGTGTCGTCCGTGCGGTAATGCGGTTTTCGGGTGTCCCGTTACGGCCGGACGTTGCGGGTCCCGCTGACGAAGACCCGTTACGGTCGCGTCTCGGGGCGTACGCGACAACGCGTTTTGGTACGCGCACCACGCGTAGGGTACGGGCAGGTAGGCGAAAACGGCCGGGTAGGTACCGTGCCTCGGCGACGGGTTTCCCGCGCGCGTATACAGAGCGATCGTTTTTTGTTTTTTTTTTTCTATCGCGGACCGGCAACGTTCTCTTTTTTTCCTCGATCGTTACGGCACCGGTTAAGCTTTATTCCGTTTGGATTCAAACCCACCAAACCCCTCCCCCACTGCGCCCGGCGTGCCTCGACCGAGTACACGGTATACTTTTGTTTTTCGAACACGCGCCCCCGCCATGTTTCGAACCCGGTAGATTCGAATAGAGAATATTTTTTCGCGTGCGTAACGCCCAACGTCCGATTCGCCTTTTATGAGCTATAACCGCTTAAAGTTTAGACTGCTGGAGGGGGGTGGGATGGGGTGGAGTAGGGACGGGTAACGGATTGCGCGACTGCACTCCGGTCTACTACGAATCCGTGTTCAAAAAAAAAAAGAAAAGAGGGTTTCCTACATTCGGTAAAACAACAAACGCAAATATATACTCGCCGAACGCGCATGTAGCGGGCGGGTGAGCGATTGAAAACGCGTCGGAACGAATGAAGCTTGACCGATTCCATAATGATTCGGGGGCAAAATTAAATAACCAAACAAACGGAAATCGAATTCACCCGAAATCTTCCGACAAAAATTGCTGGTTCGCGATGGAAAACAAATCGCCCTGTATATGTGACGCGCGGGCCGTAGCGACGGCGTACAGTACACGGCCGTAAAGTCGGGCTGAACCGCTGACAAATCCTCCGTCCCGGTCCGGTGTCCGTACGGATTACAATTATCGTCGCGCCACACACGTTACGGTAACGCGCGCGCATTACGGCGGTACGGCTGCGTGCTGGCGACCGCGGGTGTCGGGCGCGCGGCAAGGGACCGCAAGAGACGGGCGGGCATGCGAGCGGATAATGAAATACCGGTATTGTTGTTATTGCCGTCGGCGGACTATTGTCGACGCCCGCGGGTTACGGTAATATTTTTAGAAAGCCGGCGTGCGCGCGCAGTCGAACCGATGTCGCGCATTATCTCCGCGGAGACGTCCGTTAAACGGGGGGGAGCCCCCCCCCGGCGACCCGACCGCCGCGAAGGGTCCCGCGGCGCGCCGCCGAAAGCCGGCCGAGGGTATACGGTTCCGCACCTCCCCGCCCCCTCATCCCCCGGCCGTCCGTTCCGGAGAAATTTTCGGTGAAAGGCCTCCGCCGAAAACATTACTCTATTGTGCGTAATTTCTATCGCGCGGCCGGGCGTTTACGGCCAACACGGTAATAACGTTTTCCGTCCCGGGACCCGCCGCCCCGACGCGACGCCGCGCGCCTTTCACCGGGCACGGTGCGACGGCCGGACGCGCCGGCATTTCGTTCGAGTTTTATTGTGGCGCGCGCGTCGCGCGTCCGCCGCCCGCGCGCGTTCATACAAACACCCGCACGCTGCTCGAAACGCAACAACCAATAACGACAACAATGGTTTTACACGGTGGCGGCATTACGGTTGTCCGCGCGGGGTGCGCGAAAATACCGCTACGTTTTGATAACAACGACAATGCGACCGCGTTGTTATTATTATTATTATTATTGTTGTTGTTGTTGTTGTCGTTGGCACGTCGGCCGGGCCGAAATCTCACCGGTGTCTGCGTCGACATTACCGGTCGACTGGACGCGCGCGCAGCGTCCCGGACGTTATTGAACGGCCGGAATTCACGGGTAAACGCGGCCGAACCCGGAACGTGTGCAAACGCGGAACAGTGGAAATCGCGGGGAAAGCGGTTTTCCCGGCAACGGTATCGCATTCGGGCCGCGGCAAGTTCACCCCCGTGTCCGCCTGCAAGGGAAACGGGAAGAATAGAGACGGCCCGAACTCGTCTCGCGTGGCCCGCTCCGTCAGTCGATTGTTAAAAAGCTGTCCCGGGATAATCCCGGTCGACGTTTTTACTAAAAAAAAATATTCTCCGTCAATTACGGGTGGTGGTGGGAGTGGGAGGGGTGGTATGGGGCTGTAGGATCCTATCTAAACTGTACATTTGTTTAAGGTGTGCGGAGTAAAGGTAAACGAAATTGAAAACAGTTTTAACGGTGTAACTTGAACGAAACACAACGATTGAGGAAAAAAAAAAAAAAAACAGAAATCGAATTCGCTTCGTGACAACACCCGGATGAAAACGATCGTACTGTTGTACGCGGCCGTCGAGTGCGATACGGACGCGGGGAAAAAACGCGAGTTCCGCGTAGTGCGCGGGCACGGATCGCCGGACAGGGGACAAGACGAAAACGTCGCGGAAAATAATTGCCGTCCGTCGACACACGTCCGGTCGCGCGGCGCGTAATTCGATCGTCGAAAACCGACGAACGGACCGATAAAAATTAATCGGTCGTATTTTTTTTTTTTTTTTGCGGAAACCGCGTCGCTTCGACCGCGGCCGTACAACGACCGTTTGTGCGTTTTTCATTATTATTGTTGTTGTTGTTTTTTTTTTCACGATTCCCCCAGCCCCAACCCCCCCCCCCCCCCCCCCCCCCCCCCCGTTCCCACTCGGCAGACCGATCCGGCGTGCGTGCCGCCGCCGCTACGCAATATTCACGCCGACGCGGCGAAGAGACTCGATACGTTATTATTGCCCACTGTACCACCAGACGCACCGAAACCGGAGAGCGGGAGACGGCGAGAGACAGCGAGAGGGAGCGAGAGGGAGCGAGAAACAATCCATCAGGAGCGGAATTAAACCGACGGTTTGCGGTTGTGCGCGCGCGCCGCGGCCGTAAATCCGTTTTCGTACCGGTCGCGCGACTGCCGTGTGTCGTGCGCGCGGTACGACGGGTTTTTTTTTTTTTCCATTTCTTCTTCTTCTCTTCCCAAAGACCGCGAACGGCGACGCGTCGCGTGTACGCACTGTCGCCGCCGGAATGTGACGGGCGTTTTCGCGGCGAGTACAAACTCCCGTTCCGCCCGCCGTCCCACGCCCGAAACGGGGAGGGGGGGATCTCGGATGCCCCCACCCCCCGTCCGAACCGGCCCTCGCGCCGTCCGCGTTACCGCGGTGTACGCAGGACACGACGGTATTGCGTTGCGATACAGAGTTAAAAAAACCCAGGGGGTTCATCGAATGGTTCCTTTTTTAATAACAGTTTTATTTCAAGACACACGGCTGTTTTAATTCAATTTCATTTCTTTTAATTTTAACCGTTAGAAACCGTGTTTTTCGTGCTCGACCGTACCAAGTGACCAAGAACCATTTTTGCCTCTCCGACTCCCCCTCGAATTCGCGATGGCTACAAATGTCCACATTGTATATTCAAGACCAATCCACCGATTCGATTTTCTCTGAACGCTATTGTAATGACAGCGACATAGTATAGGTAAGGCTAGATGATATTATGTATTCAGAGTTCTCTTCATCGAGTAGCCGCCGTCTTTTGATCGCGATCCGGTCGATCCATCGATCACGCGGATTTCGTTCGGTTTTCGTACCTGTCTCGGATAATTCAAGAGGAATACAATACAATGACATGGTTATGTCGCGTTGGTTTATTTCACTCGAAAACGCTATCGAAAACGGCATGGTGCTTTACTGCTACCGCTTCTTCGAGTTAATATTGTTCGGAATGGATGAAAAAAATCATGGTTTTTGTTTCTTTCTAAATTGTTCAAAACGGATTGCTTTTTTTGCGTAAAACAGTTTGATTGATAAAACCGCTATATTATTTGACTAAATCGCTGTTTAATCGCGGCCGCGAAAAACAAAATTATCTATTAATCTATTAACGTTGATGTTATTGCGCTCCGAAATTATCCGTGTATTCCATTCCGATCATTACACTCGATGACCGTTCATCAAATCGGATATCCTGTATGTGTTTCCCGCAGTTCGACGGACAACTGACAGATATGGCTGAGGCGCGAGGCGATCGATACTACGGTTTATTATATCATTAACATCGATCCGGTGTACCATCATTCGGATTGAAAACTTAACGAGAAAAATGTCGGTTTTTGTGGGGAAATCAATAGTTCCGGGTGTCCGACACTGAATTACAGTATTACCTGAAATTTCACGAAACTTTCGAAAAATTGTCAATACGTTTTCCGTTCTAACGTCTCCGCTGCAATAAACACAATTTTGAGACGCGCGTATTCTCGTATACCCCGATACTGTCGTATTTTTTTTTTATAGTACAGTGCGGTCACGGTACGGACAGATGACAATAAAACGCTGTCGAACGATCTGTAATGATTATTGCAAGCGATAATAGATGTTCGACTCTGTCTCGCGCGTAACGCTCGTGTAAACGCCCCCCGTACGGTGTGCGAGCAGGACCAGACGAGTTGCCCGACGAGTTGCCGGGTAAAACTCGATGGGCCGCGACGATTTCGGGCCGTTCGACTCGCGAGGGTCCGCCGTCTGAAAACGCGTCGACGGTTAACAGCCGATAAAACGCAATACTGCGTGATATCACAGTGATATCCGTCGTGTTTGTCCGGGGCGTCGTTTTGCAAAGACAAGATACGCGATTGAAAAAATTAAAAAAGAAATTCGGGCCGAGAGCTTTTGTACGCGGGCCGGCGGGTCGCGGAGAACGCGGCCGGCCAGAATCCGTCCGATCCGGCCGCGCGCGCGCTGGACGGCTCGTCTGCCCGGCCCCTCTACCGCCGCTCCCGCTAATTCCCCTCCTTGCCGAAACCCCCGCTCCGCGTGTGCCGCGCGGTTAATATTTCCACACATATTTCGCGACACTGTCGTTTACAATGTAATGTGATTGCACACTCGCGACGACCTAAGTGGTTTTTCACACCGCCGCCCCGCTCGTCCGTTCCCGCCGGGGTCCCGTCATTACCGCGGGCGGCGGCGGTACTGTTACAAAAATAATGGTTTCGTACCGCGCGATTGATTGTTTTCGATAAACGCACTTGCCGGCGATAATGCCGCGGACAATACAACGATCGACCCGGCGGAACCGCGTCGGTATCGCGCATATCATTTGGCTTGACGCGCGCGCGCGCGCGGTACAATAACGACAATAACGATAATAATAATAATAATACCGTGTACACACGACGGGGTCGTCGGCGGGGCGCGAAAACGGTTTCGCGTGCCGGGCGTGTAAATAACGACAATGCAATTTATATCGGACGCGTGTGCGCGCGCGTACGGGGGCGAGAGCGGCCGGGCCGGGAGTCGAACGCGCGCGGCGTACAGCGCGAGTGCGGCGCGCGGACGCACGGCGGCGGGCGGGAGCACGAGAACGGAAACGGGACACGGCCGAATACGAATACGAGCGGGACGTCCCGGGATCGTTTTAAGTTCCGTACAGACGTTTCGCGATTATTATTTTATTTTTTTTTTTTTTCCATCGGCTTTAGTCTACTCGATATTTTTAATACGTTTATTTCGTACTGCGTAGCGTTACGCGGCAGAAACGTTTTGAGAATTTGTATTGTTTTGTTTTTCAGTGAAATATTTTTGGATCTAATTCGAGATTACGAACAGTACAATACACATAACGGACGTTTATTGAATGCCCCCGGAGGATTTGGAGGAAACTGATTATGAGCAGTCTTTATCTGGAATGCATGATATGAGGGGAAAATAAAGAAGTGTACGGGGATTCGGCTAAAGGGATTCGAAATATTAGTAAATACGCACGACAAAAATAATAATTTTTATCGTATATTTTAATTTTTATATATTTTCTACGATTTTTTTGTTCCCTATTTATCCTTTCAATTCAACGATTTTCGCTGTTTTGTGTTCAATATTTTATGTTCGATTTTTTTTTTTATTTTCGCTATTTCGGAGGCGACCGATAGGTACGAATTGTTTACGGTGCACTGCAGTGATCAATCTCCGTGATAAGACACTATGATAATCTCGAAAAGTATTTACATTTTTTTTTTTTTTTTTTGGACAACATATATGTGAAACCACCGCACGCTTTTGATTTTAAAATAGCAATCTATATTAAACAAATTCCATAAATAGATGACGTTTTAGTAAAAATTAACGTTGGTGTTGAAATTTGTAATTTCCGTCAGCGTTCCGAAAAGCGTGCACGCTTTCCGAGATAACGAGCGTCTTATCGCGAGGACCGATCACCCTGCCATACCGCGGTTAGGGTATTGACAATATACAGGTACTTCCGCGCGAACCGATATATTATACGGAGTATCCGACCATGTGTTTTCCCGATTTCGCTATGTACCCTCCGCGTCACCGTCGGAAAACCTCGAATTCGAATCCAATAGAGCGCCATAATATCCGGCCCGAAATGCGCAGCGTCACTTGAAAAAATAAACGATCGCACTGTATATAATACGTACGCGACTCCGTCATGTTACCATCACACCCTCTTGCGGCGGCGTACACATTTTCAACGGCCTCGCATATACGGGGGCGACATATTAATGGGATAATGGGATCGATGGGATTTTTATGACGACGGACCGCCCGGAGCGCGTTATTAAACGTCGTCAATTTTCCGGGACAGTCGCGCCCGTGCGCCTGATCCCAGCGCCACCGATTTCCGTTATAATAGAAATGTACACCGCCGCCACTAGTGTCGTCGTATTAATGCTATATGTCTATTGCTGGGGTGCGGGGGGAAAAAAAAAAAAAATTCAATATTCCTATACAACAAGTCCAAATATATTTGTGAGCGAGCGTCCGTACGTGGAAATCAGTGGCGTGACCGCGAATTTTCAATATATAACGAATAAATCGTTGAATCTTCTTCCGTGTGCTGTAGGCTTTGCTGAAACATAATTTATCTTCACTTCAAACGCAACAGCGAGTATTTTAGTTTTCGCGCAGTTTTTTACAGATTCAAAAAATATTTGAGAAAATAACAGGGTTTGACGCACACATAGTGTTATCGTTTTCGTGATTTACAGTGGTGTACGGAAAAAACGCATTGACAAAACATTTTCGAAAGCACTTGTTTTAAAATAATCGATTTATTACTTTTTGAGACACGCATTGTTGCAATTTAAATCTAAGTTTCAATGAAATTAAATCATAAAATAAACACTCGTGGAGAGAGGCGAGAACCGTATAACACGTAATATCTTCCCCTATACCCGCAGCGCACGCCGAATGATTGGAATTGAAGAAATTTAACAATCCTATAAATATCTCTCATCAAATAATCATTATCGTTAAACTACAGTCAAATTCGCGTATAACGATGCCGTATGTAACGATATTCCGGGTGAAACGATTCCAATCAATGTATTTGGTTGGTTTTATATGTTAGGTATAATACTTTTATTCGTATACAACGATATCGGTTATAACGATAATCCGGATATAGCGATGTTATTTTAAAACGAAAATTGGTTTTTATAATCACCCATAGCGATTAATAATACGCATGTACATTGTACATTTTGTAGTAAATTTGATTACGCCCAAATCGATAATTCTTAATCTTATCTGTAACAGATAACGTGTCTTGTACGACCGTATCGTATACAGAATACCTACGTTTCTTAGTCTTTTAGTTGCCGTTTTGATTGCTATCCGTTTAGACACGATCCGAATAAGTTAAAAATGTCAAATAAAAGAAGACGCTGTTTCACTATTGCTGAAAAAGTGAAAATAACTGAACGTTTAGAAAGTGGTGTTTCTAATAACCGACTGGTTAAAAGAATGGGATAAGCAACTAGCAAAGGAAAAACGACATATCCTATTGGCTGTAGATAATTGTCCGGCTCATCCTCCTGTTCAAACTGAATTTATAAAGTTGGTTTTTCTCCCTCCAAACACGACATCTGTGTTACAACCTTTGGATCAAGGTATTATTAAAGCATTAAAAGTGAAATTTCGGAAAAAACTAGTACTGAAAATTATTAATCAAGAGGAACAGGGAAAAGATATTAAAATTTCAGTATTAGATGCAATTTTAATGATTTCCGATGCATGGAATGATATTTCTACCACTACAATAAGAAACTGTTTCCACCACGCTGGATTCAAGGCTTCGGTAAACNATATACAGTCAAATTCGCGTATAACGATGCCGTATATAACGATATTCCGGGTAAAACGATTCCAATCAATGTATTTGGTTGGTTTTATATGTTATGTATAATACTTTTATTCGTATATAACGATATCGGTTATAACGATAATCCGGATATAGCGATGTTATTTTAAAACGAAAATTGGTTTTTATAATCACCCATAGCGATTAATAATATGCATGTACATTGTACATTGTGTAGTAAATTTGATTTCGTCCAAATCGATAATTCTTAATCTTATCTGTAACAGATAATGTGTCTTGTACGACCGTATTGTATACAGAATACCTACGTTTCTTAGTCGTTTAGTTGCCGTTTTGACAAAAATATGTTTAATAAATCAATTTTTCAAAAAAATCATGTTACTTTTTATGATCCGGATACAACGAAGTTCGGTTATAACGATCAGATTCCCTAGGTCCCTAGAAGATCGTTATAAGCGAATTTGACTGTATTTACTTGTATATGTTTGTGCTGACAAGCCGACAACAGTAATAATTTTAGTTTCAAATATCCCCTGAGGTTAGGTTAGTTTAGCACACAATTAATCACTATGAATCACTATACATATATATGCATTTATAATGGCGTAACTAGGTGTCTTTTTTTTTTTTTTTTGGAGGGGGAGAAAAATCATGACTATAGAGTATAGGTAAGTATACAATTTGTAAACGTAACACGATATTATTTTTTTATTTAATGACATTTCAATATACATTATTGTATCTGAACAATTAATTAATCAACTTGATTTAGCTTAAAAAACCTATAGTTTTTTTAAAATATGTTCAAACCAGTTTGAAGAACATAAATTATAAACTGTTTAATTAATATTTCATTATTGGAAGAAAGGGCATCGGAATAAGAAAAATGTACATGAAAATAAGTAAAATATATATTTTTTAAATTAAGTCTATTGGAGTAAAGGAAAGGACAATGTATTAATAAATGGGAAAAATCGCATTAACATGAACAATAAAATAAACTAACAAATAATGATAATGTAACATATTTCCCACGTGAAATTTTGTATTTTGTATAGTAAGACGCTTAAGTAAACTCGAGCAATTATGGAATCTAACGATTCTATGATAGGAGTGGAATATTATAAGGAAGTATCGCTGGACAGAGAAAGACGGGGAGAAATGAGTGATGCAGCAGTTGGTCTATAAACGGCTTTTGAAGTTAAAGACAAGGAACGGGTACAGCTACTGTTGTAGGTGAGAAGTTCGGAGAGTAGGATACAGAACGGAATTTAATGTATATCTGCGGTAAATCATTTCTCACAGAAAAACGATTTTGAGCGGAATTCAGTTGATAGTGACGCTTTGTCAACAATATATATGTTATACTATGGTAAAATAACTAAATAGACAATATATTTTCTTTAATCAAATTTATTTAATATTGATCCGATTTTCCCGGTTTTTCACATTTGCTGGGAAAATCGAAAAATTACCACTTTAAAATACCTCCCCACAATGATATCCATTTAGAAAAGATACTACACTTAGAAATCGGAGTAAGATCTCTAATAGAAAAATTGTCCACAGGGAAAAAAATAAACATCTTTGTAAAGCCATAAGTTTCTTCGCTCCACTCAGAATCTAAAAATGTAACAATTTATTTTTTAAAAAACAACTCTTGGTATACCTGGTCTACAAATCTCTTTGGGAGAAGCGCTAATTTACCACATGCCACCGATATGTATATTGTATAAACATAATTTCACACGGTCTGCAAAAACCGATCAATTTCCACTATTATTATTACGAAACCCATATTTGCAGAAATTTGACTAGGTAATTAAAACTGTCCGTCTCATTTAGTGACGTGTGCATTTCTGTATTTCTATTCACAGTCCGTCATTATTTCATATTGGTAAAATATTATACAGAAGCAATTCGGTAAAAAAAGAAATTTGTTCCCGTTCCTCGTTTTTACTGTGAAAAAAAGGAACATTGTAATTTTATGTTATGTGCCTTGTAAGTTGTATGTTAATAAAAATGGAAAAGTTGAGATCGCGTTGCCGCAATAACGTATTATTGCGATAATTTATTAGTAACTGATGAAATGATACTTACACTGATCAATTTCCATTAAAATAACGTGCGTTTTATTTTTTTTTTTTTTTTTTTTATAGTAGGACGAACGGAAATTTGACTAGTTCACGTTCATCATAAACAGAAACTCATTCCCGTTCAGCGTTCCATGATTCGTCCGTCCTATGAAAGGATCGCGTTCCTTTCCAACACCGAGAAGAACACGGTTCGATGTAAAGCATGTGTAAATATCGTATCCAGAATGGATTTCTAATCGGTTTTCTAGTTTCATTCTTGGCCAATAACGGCCTAATGTAATCCGAACAGCTATATATATATAAGTATATTATTATATGATTACCGTCACTGGACAATATCCGAGCGATGACTAGTGTACTAATACCAGATCTGTACCGAATCGATTGCGACGGTATTTTTATTGTGCCTACAGGCGGCATAAAAGATCTATTGCAGACTTTAGTGCGAACGACCTTACTTATATAATTCGAATCGCGGATGCCTTTGATTTATTCATCCCGATGGCGAACGTGATGAATAATAATTTATCGTTTTTTTTTTTTATTGATTACTATAATAATATAAACGTCTGAGAAAATTGTTTAAATCGGTTTACCAAAACCGGTGTCGCGCATGACGTCAAATAAATTATGGCCGAAACACAATATTTACCGGCCGTGCAAATGTGTTGCCGACATGAAATGTATATTAGATTTTGAGCGGAGGGATGAAGTGTTTGTGTTTGTACAACGGCGTTTGCTTATTATTATTTGTTTTATTTTATCCGTGAACGGCTTTTATACCAGAAATATCGCTCCGATTTACAAGCGCGGCACTTTTTCCGAAAGAGAATCTAACCGGGGCGGTACTTTAGGTAGGCCGTTTTTTCGATTTTCCCAGGCGTTCGCTCGACAAACGGGGACCACCGGGCGAACAGCAAAACAGGTACGATGTCAGACGAATACTATTAAAGAAAATGTTTAATGCGCGTGCAATTATTCTACCATAATGCACGACGTTTTGTGTAAATATTGTTGACAAAGCAACCGAACGCCGCTCGCGTGTACGTTATGTTCCCGTCCATATCCTATGCCTTCCCAACTTGCCAACCCGCTGTTACAACAGCGGCTGCACCGCCCGTCCCCATTGTCCCCTAGGGGCGACTTTTCATTTTATTTGTCTACGTGCGGTCGCGTCGCCGGTCCTCTGGATCCGGTGTCGGTCGTACGCGTAATATTCCGCGGGTACCCCCCGTCGCATAATAATTATCGAATATTGTTATTTCGTAAGAAAAAATAACAAAAAAAATTCGAAAACTTGCAAAAGCGTAAAAGCCGTCGCACAGACCGGCGGGCGGCGTGTACCGCCACGCCGTAAGGAAATACGAAAAAAAAAAACTCCGGTCGTATTTTTTTTTTATCAAGCATATTACTTTTCGTCCTCTTCCAAAGGACCCCGCGGACTCGATTACCTGTACCGAACGCGGTACAACACGCATTACGGTTCGTCGTGCGGAACGTTTTCCGATACGCAATAACACGTATTTTAATTCGAACGCACGCGCGTGCGTATATTATCCGTTTTGCGATATAGCGCCGCGGCCGTCCGCGAAACCGTTTCTCCAGCCAGCCCGCCCCACCCACCAACCCCGTCCGTTTATTGTCGTTCCGCCCGTACGCCGCGAACGGTAAACCGCACAGCGTTTTCGCCGTAAGACGAGCGCAATCGTCACGATAATAATATGCGTGTGCTAGTGCGGCGGCGGCGGCGGCGAGTCACGAATACACGAGAATATATTGTAACGCAATAATAAATAATACGTAACGATCGTTCGCGGCGCGCCCGTACGCAACCGCTCGCGTCGTCGTCGCCGCGCGCGTGTGTGTGTGTGTGTGTGCGCGCGTGTACGTGCGACATTATTTCCGCGGACGGCGGGGACGGGCGACGCGGCGCGGTACGAGCTTTCGGCGCCGAGAGCGATTTTCGTCCGGCCGAGGAAGGGAGAAAGGGGACGACGGGGACGGGCGTGTGTGTAGCGGTTCCGCCGCGGCGGCCGTATTGACGCGCGCGGCCGATCGGGCCGGAAGAAGAATGGGCGGCCCTCCGTAATTGGTCCCCCGCGGCCGCGGCCATGTTGAACGCGCGCGCGCCCCCCCCCTCCCTCCCTCCTCCCTCCCGATCGCGCCACCCGGAACGACACCCCGCGCTCGCGCGCAAAAAATAAATGAAAAAAAAAAAAAAACAGAAATAATACAATAATAATAATAATAATAAAAAATCGACTAGCCGTCCCGTATACGGTAATGCTGCGACTGTACTGCCGTGACCGCACTTGCGGCACTACGGCGGGCGGGTCGGCGGGCACGCCGGTTATTGTCGGCGACGCGGACGTTTTTCCGATATCGGAATCGACCGGCGGAAAACCCCGCGGCCGTTTAATCGGTTTTTTTTTCCGTTTCCTCCGTGTTCCCGCGTAAACGTCGGGTCGAAAATCGAAACAACAAACCTTCTCCCCACCACCTACCGATCGTGTCGGCGCTCGTTTTTTACCGGTCCGACGTATCGCACAGTGTCCAACGGCGGCGGCGTATCCCGGGCGACCGCCGTTGGGGGGGGGCAAACGTAAGGTATTGCCCCCACCCCCTAGACCCGAGTTCGGTTATCCCACCCGGCGTTTCCGAGACGGCGATTTCCGAATTGACCGTTACAAAAGTGTAGGCGAGGGTATAATTTAGAGTGGAAATAGTCGTAATATTGTGTTTTTCTTAACATCCCTCTATCCCCACCCACCGAGCACAGCTGCGACACTGACGGTGCCCCGCGGCATTCCCGTCACAATTGTTTAACGTCTTAGATAAGACGGCCGGTGTTCGAGCGTTCTCAACAATTTAAAGTTTTTTAAAATTTTTATTTATTTTTTTTTTTTTTATTATTAAAACAATTTATTTTTCTTCTCTTTTCCAATCTCAGTATTATTGCTATTTTCGTATAATATTATAGTATATAATAATTTATGAACAATATTCTCGAACGTAATAATTATAATAATATATTATATATATATATATATGTATATATGAATATAGGTATGTACAGGGATACAGGGAGAAAAAAAAAATACAGGGCATATCATATAGTTTTTACATACATAATATTATAATAGGATTGGCACTTTGTATACAATAATTATAGTGTTTATACCCTAACCTTAAACATTATTACAGTATAGTCTAACGTTTTATAAAATATTTACAATGTACACACACACACACACACACACACGCACGCACACACAACACGTACACGCACAAATAACATATACGTATATATGTATATTGTATTATACAATATTGTATACGTATATATTGTACAATTTATAGTATTTTAATATTTTTTCTATGTACAAATATAAAACGAAAACGTTAAAATCGACGGCGGCGGCGGCGGCCGGAAGATCCAATGACGGAAGAAAAAAACCGAACAGACGGACGAAATATTGCAACGGCATCACGTCGAGTTCCGTTCCGCATAATATTTCCGGTCGCGCGGCGTTGCAACAACACGGGAAACGCGTGTTCGTGATTAAAAACGAAATAAACGCAGTCGCGGACGACAATATTATCATAGTACGCGTTAAATATGTGAACGGCTGCAGGGGACGTGTCATAGGCGCGGCGACAACGAGATTATCGTCGTGCCGATAACGGCTGACGGGGAGAGGGGGGGAACGGAAAAAAAAAAAAAAAAAACATAGTCTCGTCGCGGTAATATCGTCGCTGTAATAAACGTTTCGCCCGGTATTACGGGGGATGGTGCGACTCGGCGTTTTCGCGTTACAAAATAATAATAAGCGGACGACGCAATAACGGGAAAACGATTATCCGGGGGCAGACGGGGCGCGGTTGGAGGTTCGGGGGAAAGGAACTCGTTAAAATGTACATGATAATAATAATAATAATAATAATAACAATAATAATAACAATGGCGTTCGGTTCGGACGTCGGTCCGTTTTTTGAAAACCGCGATCACCGATCAGACATCCGTCGGAAAAAAACCGCGAACGGTTTTCGCGGGTCGTACGCGCGAACATCGCGACTCGGTGACTAGTGGCGTTGATTATTATTGATAATGTAATGTTTAAATCTAACTGTCTGTACAAAGTCGAGGGGAACATGTTCAAATGTTTCATAATAATGAAAAAAAAAAAAAAAAAACGTTTTTGTTATCGAAAACAAAAAAAAAAAAATAATAATAAAAACCGACCGTGAGAGAGACGGCGCGATTAATCGCCGGCGACGCGCGTGCGTATCGGACGCAGCGTCACTAGACGCTCGTGGTGGACCCCGGGCCGCCGCCGCCCATCGACGGGGACGGCGACGCCGGGGTGACGGACCGCCGGCCGCCGCCCGGCGACAGCGACGTGCGGGACAGGGACGACTGCAACTGTCCGCCGGCCGGCTGGTGCGTCGGCGTGCCGGACTGTTGCTGCTGCTGCTGCTGTTGTTGCTGTTGCTGCTGCTGCTGCTGCTGCTGCTGCAGACCTTGGGCTATGAGGTGGGCCATGGTGGGCCGGTGCGACAGGAGCGACTGCAGTTGGTGCGGGTGACCGAACAGCTCGGACGGGTGTTGGAAATAGTGCGGCAGGTGCGGGTTGCCGTAAAGCGGGTGATGCGGCCGGGCCGCGGCCACGGCGGCCATCTTCAGCTTCTCGATCTCGGCCTCTTGGAGCCGCTTGGCTTTGGCCCTCCGGTTTTGGAACCATATTTTCACCTGTAACACGACAAACACGTCCAACGTTTTACAAAACGGCATCATCACCGGCGGGCGCGTATGATTAATTTTTCTGATGCGGAGCATTTACGAAATACACGTGCGCGCGTGTCGATTAAAAAAAAAAAAAAACAGTGGCGTCGGTGCGGTTTCTGTCCGATATCCGGAGCAAATTTTCCAAATCACCATCGGTTTCGCAAGCCCGATTTAAACCCTCCAAAACCTCCCAAGTTCGAAATCCGAAACGGCCGCTCGTAAAACGGTGCAATCAAAAGTCTGCGGTGAAACCGAGGCAAATTAGTAAGATTGTTTTAAGTTGTACCGGTGGCGCCGCGAACGGTAATAATGGGTGTAGAATCAAATCGTTCGTCCACAGCTACCGTCCACCCCGATAGTAGCCGTCGTTATAATAGCTGTACGCCAAATACGTTCGGCGAAACGTCCGTCCCGATCCTCCGGGGAATTCGCCGAAAACCGCGGTCCGCTACGCCGCTGGACGCCACTGGTTTTGTAATCGCCGAACCACAATATTTATGTATTTTTTTTTTTTTTTTGCGTTTTCGCAATATCCTAACACGCCGGACGCGCCGTACCGCGATAATTATGACCACAAAAATAACGAACGCCGCTTACCTGTGTCTCGGTTAGGTGCAGCGAATTGGAAAACTCGGCGCGTTCCGCGATGCTCAGATACTGTTTTTCCCGGAATTTTTTCTCCAGGTTCAACAGCTGTTGCGTGGTGAACGGCGTCCGGGGTTTCCGGTTCGGCTTGTGCTTTCTCAGGTTGCACTTGAGTTTTGGCGGTTCGCCGTTGTTGGAATCTAAACGGGAAAAAAAAAAAACACTACCGTTAGCATTGCGTCCGTTCAAATATTATATTTGTCAAGTTATACGGGTGGTTAGCACCAGTGTGCCGCGACAGTCGAGCGCGCAATTCAGGGGCGGCAGGGGCGCCCGGGACGTGGTTTTTACCGCAGTGGCGTCCAACATCCGCAATATTACGGTAAACGGGTGCGGAAACCCGTTCATTAAAACGGTCCCGTTCCCGGCCGCGTTCGGAATCGAAAATCGCGACGCGTCAGACGACGTGCGTCGTACAGCCCGAGAATAACGTTCAACTCGAACTTGTACCGTTGCGCGGCTCGCGCCACCGACGCGGCGGGCGACAGGAGCGCGAAACAAGGAGAAGGCATTCCGGATCCTTCGGTTGTCGAATCCCGAGCGGTGCCGAAACGACAACATTATTACATTTATAATAAATTTACACGGCGGCGGCGGCGGCGGCGCGACGAGCGCGTCTCGTCCGGGGTCTAAAAATACAATTTTACTCGTCGGGGCGTGCGTACGGAGCGCTCGCGATAAACGACGATTAGGAAAAAAAAAAAAGAAGAAAAAAAGAACCGCGGCAAACCGAAGCCAAAAAATGCGCGCGAGTATATTTTATTGTCCGCGATTTTATAGGCCTCGCCGTAGTTGGCATTTTTTTTTTCTTTTCGCCTCCCCACCCGTCTTTTCTTGGCACGTATCCGCCCCTCTCGTTCGGCCGCGAAGCCGATTAACACGTTTTGCGCGACGGTTTCAACGCAAACGCGCGCGACCCGACCCGAGACCCCGGAGCAATAATTAGACGCCGCTAAAAATAATATAATAAAACGGCCGACGCCGCCCGAGACACGCGAGAGAGACGCACAGTGAGAGGGAGTGGGAGTGGGAGAGAGAGTGAGAGGGAGAGACTGTACGCTATGCACAGTTTAGACTGCGGAAAGCAAAAGGAGAAAAAAAAAAAAATAGAAAAAAGTCGCCCAATTAGAGTCGGATGCGCCGGCGGAATGTGCGAGCGCGGAATACCGCAGACGGTCGCGAATAAACGCAAACACGCGCGCTAGCCGCCGCGCCGGCCAGACAATGGAATAATATCGTTTGCGTAATATTGTTATTAAAAAAAAACACACACCGGGGAAGAAAAAAAAAATTAAAAAACTCGTCGTAATAAAAGTGGCGATTTCGTATAGTTTTTTCCCATAACTTTTGTATTACATTCGGATATTCCGAGCGCGTATCGAGAGACGTATCCGGTTTTAACGTTTCCTCCACCCTCCTCCCCACCACCGGGACGGTATATACGCGGCTTTTTTTTTTTTTTTTACCCCGGAAATCTCGCCCACGGTCGAAAACATTTTCCGGGAAATTTTTCCCAAAACAAACGCGAACGCCCGGCGATCGGGAGCGCGGACATCTGTCGGTTTCCGGACTACCCCGGCCGGGCGGCCGATGAATATTACGCGTTGTCACGCGGCGCGCTCAGAATCGTTTTCGCGTCGTCGCACCGCCGGTCGATCGCCGCGCGGACCGAACGCCGAAACACCGTGACGTTACGACGTAATCACACGCCGTCCGACCCGTCTCGCAGAACGCGGAACGACGGATTCGAATCCGGAGGTTTTTGTTTTTCTCGCACACCACACAACGCGGCGACCCGTACGTACACACAGGGCGTGTGCGCGCGTGTCGCCGTTATTATGAAATCCGAACGCCGCGCCGACCCGATAGAGTAACGGACGCCGTGCGAAAATCGAGAAAAATACGCAAATTTTTTGGTTTTTTTGCGAGAACGCCCGGCGAAGTAAACCCGCCGTTACAAATTACCGTCAATAACATCGTCGGACCGAATTTTTACCGGAACGGCAATAATAATAATACGACTGTCGTTGTTGCGACGCCGTTCGCATATACAACACATATTGCACCGCGACACGTGACTACAGCACGGACATCGCGTCGTGGAAAAAACACTTTGCGAAAAACCGCCGCACAAAAATTTATCGAAAATCGCGCCGACAACCGGACAGTGCGCGGAGTGACCGAGGAACGCGGACGTGCAACGGTCGAACAATCGCATTTCGCGAATAATATCCGCGTGTTGTTGCGTTGGTACCGTCTGCCGGACTTGGGATTATCGGAATAAAAATACGATATCGTTACGCCTCGATTTTATGGCCCGCCGCCGGCAACCGTGCGGTCTAATCTTATCTGCGCGATTGTCGGGTGTCGGCTACGGCCGAGACGGCCGTGCGCATTGAGCGAATTCAACGGAACCGCGGTCGCAGTTCGGAGAGAATCGCGATGATGACGTTGCGCCGCCGGGATGGGATTTAAACGCATTTAAAACCGACTGGGCGGTGCACGGAAAGGCCGGGGTAGGGGGGGGGGGGGGGGGGGGGGGAAAAAACCCGCGGCCCTAACAACGCCGGGGGGGTACGCGCGCGCGTGCGCACCGTATCGCCTGCGTCCGTGCCGTTTAAAAAAAAAAAGAAAACGGTCCGCGAGACGCCGACGGCCGACGCAAAGGCGCGTCCGGAGATTGCGGGTTCGCGGGATCGCGTTGAAATATTCGAATAATTATTCCGCGGCGGGGGGAATCGCGGAACGCGCGAAAACGCGTGGCGGACAAAAGAAACCGAGCGATTTCCGCGACGTTCCGGGGGGCCGTTACACGCGCGCATTTGTCGCCGTCGTTTCCGGCTTTGCGCGCGCGCGTATCGCACGTGATTTCGGTTTTGGAGTAAAAAAACATCGGCTCGATTGCGTCTGAATCGAAAGAGTACGACATTCCGGAGGTCGCTGACGTTGCGTTCTCGTCCGGTTTTTTTTCATCTCCGAATACAACCGGCAATTTACCGTTCACGAGTAAAACGACTTTTTCGACGATTTCACAATGGGCGGCGCTTTTACCCCGAAAACCAAAACCAAACGGACTCCGTGCAGTCTGCGTAAGCGGCGTTTTTCTACTGCGTCTCGTACCGTTCGTAAGACGGCAACGACAAATGCGCATTCGCGTACCGTCCGCTTTTAAAACCAAACGCTCGCGCCCGAACGACCGGGTGAAACGGAAACAATAAAAGGTCCGAACATTTTTTACCGTCCGTCCGGACAAACAACGTACAGAGAAATCGCTGCGCTACAGTGGCGTAAATACCGGGACGGACGAGGTGAGCAAACGCCACTGGTCCACAACAGATGGGAGCCCTGGCAGCGGTCCAGACCGGGGCGTTATTGGACAGGTGAGGGTCTCTTCGAATAATCCCTCTTTTTTCTTTTTTTTTTTGTTTATCCGGTTCGGCCTTTAGGACCTTACACAATATTTTGCCGCGGCCATAAGAAACTCTACTGCTGCGCTGACGGGGTTTTCAGGTGTATTGCCGAAACGAAAATTTGGGTTTTTTTTTTTTTTTTCATTCGCGAGAAAAAAGTCATTCGGTTGTAGCGGACGACAAACGATTTACACGCGACCTCGCCGGGCGACGGGGTATAAATCGACATTTCTTGATTTCTGTTTTTTTCGAAACTATTGCGCAGCCGGTATGCAATTTAGCCGCGGCGATTTGTTTCAACTAAAACGTCATCTATTTATGGGATATTTTCGAAACGTAGGCGGCCATTTAAAGCTAGTAGCGGTTTCATCCCGAAAAATAACGATCGTGTAAACGTTTCTCTGCAGCTATGCACCTACTATATTGTTTTACACGTTTTACGAAAAAATCCCGAAAAAGTAAATACTTTCCGGGATTACACTGTAAATATGTAAGGGGGGAAAAAAACGGTTTCCTTTGAATCTGCGGGAAACTAGCGGTCCCGTTCGTAACACTAACGTACATAGATGGCGAGTGCGCGTTTTAATCGTTCGCGGGGCACAGCATTTGCGATTTCGTAGCGGTTTACACACTATAAATGACAATAATAATAAAACCGCACGTTTCTTTTTGTCGTTTTCGGACCGATTTTTACACCGGATGGTAAATCGCCGGTCGACCGTACCGTGTACACCGGATTCCGGAATACCAGAATGATGACCAAGATTCTCTATACGGTTTCCTGTACGATTGCCAAAGTCTTTCAACGATGGCCAAACATTTTGTATGCGCTGATTTCCGTTCACGGTGATTTACACTCCGGACTATTCGGCCGTGTCGAGTCCGAGGATTATTGTACACGCGGTTAAACAATAATACAGAGGGTAAATCGCCGATCGAAAATGCGTACACGCTGTACAACGCAAGATTCCGGAACGCCGCGATTACCGTGATCGTAACTATACGGAAGATTCCCCGCGAGATTACCGGATATCTCCGCGACTACCGATTATTCGCAAACCGATTTTCGTCTGTAATTTACCCCCGTCCGTCCGGTTTATACACGTTGATTTTCTATCCAAAAAAAAAAAAAAAAAAGAACATTTCGCGCCCGTTTTTCGGCGCGATCGGTTGGCGGTGGAAAGTGTCGACATGCGTGTCGATCAATCGAAAAAAAAAAAACCGTTTTACCGTTTTCGACTCGTCGTTCGGGTTTGGGTCGCGGAATTTTACTGAAAAACGCGAGACGCGTGATATTCGCACATAATTGTAACCAAAAACGAGTACAATGCGAGTGGTTTTCTTTTCTTAAAAAAAAATCGACACAATGCTCATTTGATTTTGATTTAATTTTATCGGGTATTTGTTTTTTTTGTTAACGCGTACGTGTCGCCGAGAGACGCGCGTATTACTCTCTCGAATCTTCATCGGGTTTCAGGCCGGACGCGTTTTATGTTTTTATTTATTTTTTTTTATTTACGTCACGCACGATGCGTTTCTCCCAAAAAAGGAACGAAGCTTGGAACGCGTTCCTTTTCAAGTAGTATAGGAACGGGGAACGGGAAGTTGCGTATTCATGTGAAACGGGGACGCAAATTTCGGTACATTCTGTTAGGAAAAAAACCCGAAAAGCGCGTTATTTCAGTGATAATAGTGTTTGGTAATTGTTTAGTGTTGGTATCACTCCGTCGGTTACCAATTTAGTCATCTATAACCGTGACATCTCGGTGATAATTGTTTAAAACGGTAAAAAATAATACGACATATTTGATAATGACAAACGTCAAATGTACAAGTAATTTTTATTAAACTTTCAATGTAATATGTTTTTTCATTTTTATCAGGGTATAGGAACTAGGAAATTAATTTAATTTAATTTATTAGGATTTTAAACGTGTAGAATTTTAGAAAAAAGAATAATTTCCAATTTTAACTATCCTACCTTCCCGACTTTCCACCTATAACAGTATACCTGCACTCGTCTCCGGTATATTTTCTATGAGTATATAATATACGCATCCATTTAAAAAAAAATAAAAAATAAAATGCTTTAAGGAACGAGGAACGAGAACGAATTCTTTTTTAAAAAGAACTTTCCCAACACTGCTGAATGCGGTAGATTCGACGATTTTGCGCCGACGTCGGTTCTGAAATATAGCGGAACGAGTCGGTTTCTTATCAGACTTGAAGACGCGATAACATTGTGCGCTGCGGTTTTTCGGCGATATTTTCGCACATTATCGAGCTCGCGAAACATTACGGTTTAAAAATCGCCGTACCTCACTTAGAAATTATGAAAATATCGAGACAAAACCCGGGTATACAAACACGTCGAACGATTTTCTTACGAAACGCGATGAGATAAAAAAAAACCGTACGGGTATAATTTCTCGCTTTTTTTTTCCGGTAATACGCGAATTTAATAACACGGTAGGTCGTATTTGATTGGTTTTTTAGCGAAAAAGCGCTTAAATCGTCGAAAAAAGCAAAAGCGGTAAGGGGATAAAGGAACGATTCCCGGAATTGCTTCCTTTTTAGAGGAACAAACGAAAGAAATTGATTCCATTATATTTTGAAAGAATAGAAACGCGAATCAGTTCATTGTTTTTAGGAAAAGGAACGAAAATATTGTTATTCTGTTGTTTTCAACAAGGAAATAAGACGAATTGAATTTATCAGGATCTCAAGTAAGAACGGTTTCCGATTCGCATTGTGACACGATCGGCTCACACTACCCTTATTTGTTTTCACGAAAACCAAGCGTCTGCACGAGTAACAAACGAAAACGGCCAGTGTCGAATTGATTGTGTACATTTGAATAACTTCCGAAGCAAGATCGTCAGTGACAGTGTTTATCGGTAAGCGCTACAAGAACGACTTCCGGTTTTAAGGAACCGAGCACGGGAACGGGGACGAAATCTTTTCTTTTTTTTTTTCAAAAGGAACTTTAACGACGCCGGTTGGGACCGCACGCACGTGACCCCGCGGACGACTAATAAAGTGCCGGGAACCGGATCGAAAATATTATGCGAAAACACGGTCTCGCCGCCGCGCGATTTCACGGTCCGGATGACTGCGAACCATAACGATTATCGGGATGTCTCGAAATTTTTGCCCGGACTCCGGTGTACAGTTAATCGACGACGCCGGGCGTATCCATTTGCCCGGGTTAAAACACGCGAAAATACAATCGGAAACGCAGAAAAATACAAAAAACGGTAGAGCGTTTACCTCCCCTCTCATCCCCTCCCCCTCGCACACGTCACTCACGCCTTTGTTTTTCTTTCCGCCGGACGAGACGGCAACGACACAAAACGACATTACAACACGGGTGCGCGGTCGCACATTGGGCGGCTCGATCGCGACCGCGCGCGAACGTCGGAAAAAATCGAAAACGAAATCCGAAACAGTGAAAAAAAACCTCACCTGCCTAGGGGGGGGGGGTGTACACCTAACGCGTTGTCCGCGCGGCCGTCCTCGACGCGCTGCGCTTTTCTAATTGCGATCATTCGCGCGGCCGCGCGGCGCACGTACGACCGCGTACGTTACGCGCGCAGCGAGACGTTATCGCGGCAATTATTCTACGCGCGCGTACGTACGGGCGGGTACGTAATAATATAATATTATCGACTAATTATTAATTATAAATTATAATACAATAATTGTTTGTTAATAACGATAATGGTTGTAATAATAATACAATATCGTATTGTACCGCGCGCGGCGATAATGATGGTGCGGCGCAGCGCGCATATAGATTAATCGGCAACAATAATTACGATACAATAATTACCGCCGTACCCGCGATAATACAACAATAATATAATGCCCTACAACGGCGTACCGATGGTTTTTATTACAATGGCCGGTCGGTTTGTAAACGGAATTATGTTGTTATTAAAAAAACTGCATCGGAATCGTTATGATTATTGTTATTTATTGTTGTTGTTGTTGTGTTATTTACGTGGGTTCGCGGAGACGGTAACGACGGTAAATTTTTTTTTTTTCCCAATATTGTTTTACCGAACCCGTCGGATCGGAACGCTTTTATTCTATCGCATGCGGGGACGGCGAAAAGTTCGCGCGAAAACTTACCAGGCGAACCGGAGTTGAGACCGGCCGAACCGAAGGCGGGAAACGCGCCCGCGTAATGAGCCGGGTGCCAGGCCCCGGGTGCGCCGGGGTGTTGCATGCCGGCGGCCGAGTAGGCGGCGGCCGCGGCCGCGGCGAACGCGGTGAACGGCGTCGGCCGGACGGGCGCGACGGGATGGTGCTGGTGGTGATGGTGTGCCGCGGCCCCGGCTCCCACGGCACCTCCGCCGGACATCATGAACGCGGCGCGCGCGGCCATGGCGCCGCCGGGCTGTTGGAACGGATGGTGCTGGTGGTGCGACAGCGGCGGCGGCGACGCGTGCAGCGGCATGGGCGAGCGGCCGCGGTCCGGAGTGCCGGACGAACACCGCCGTCCGCCGCTCATGATGCCGCCGCCGTCGCCGTCCGTCGTCTCGACGTCTACGCTATTGCGGTCGTCGTCGTCGTCGTCCGGCGTGTCCATGTCGTCGTCGTACACGGACCCGGGCGTGGGCGACCGTACCGGCCTGGTGTCGGCCAACAGGGCGGCCACGCTGAACTTGATGTGCCCGGACGGCCGGGCCGCGGCCATCACCGCGGACGACGGGCTGCTGGCCGTCGTGTCGTCGTTGTTGTTGTTGTTGTTTATGAGATGGTGACGGTGATGATGTATGTCCGGCGGGCCCCCGCCGCCCATCACCAGATTGGTAGCGGTCGCGGGCGACGTCATCGTCGTCATCCGCATGGACTTGTTGCTGTGATGGTGTTGCATGAGTTCGTCTCCGGCGATGTCCGGTCCGGCGGCCGCCCCCCTTTGCTGAAGTTGTTGCGGCTGGCTCCCGTTGTTGTTGTTGTTGTTGTTGTTGCTGTTATTGCTGTTATTGTTGGCGGACGGCGTGGACGGTGGCGGCGGCAACAGATGGTTGAGCGCTAACACTGTCATATTGGCTGCTCCGGTCGGTTCTAGCATGTGCAGTGTCCGCACGAACCGTTCGCAAAGCGCATTCAACGCGCGCGGTTTACCGCCGGCAAAACGACCCGCGCGGTCCGGTCATATAAAACGCGAAAGCGCCGTGTGTGCTGCTCGTCAGTGCCGTGTACCGGACGGCGCTCCGAGAAATATGATCGTTACCGTTGTAACGGCGGTTTACCGGAATCGAAACGAAAAATGTACGTACAACAGTCGGCGAAACACTACCGCGGAAAAACGTAAACTCGTAAAAAAAAAAAAAAAAACAAACAAACAAACAAAAAATCTTCGAAAATTATAATTATAATTAAAACAATAATATTATCCACTTGCGACGATATTCGAATATTCGATTTTACAACAATCGGCGATCGTATATGAAATAATAATATCACAATAATTATTATGATGTTGTACGGCGGACAGCGAACGCCGGAACACGGACAGTAGCGGTGTTGTCGGTAGACTGAACGGTTAGCGCGACGGCCGGCGGTGGCCTCGTGACGGTGGCTGCGGCGACGGCGGCGGCGGCGGCGGCGGCAGGCGACCCGAGCGCGCCCGGTAGTAGCCGCCGGCGCCGCCCACCGATACGGTCACGCCCCTACGACGGTGGCGCGGGGCGGCCCCCTTCGCGACCGTGTGCGGCCGGCGGTATGGTGGAGGGGGGTAGCGGGGAAGACGGCGTTTCGTCAATACGTCTCGTGTATTATTATTATTATTGTACGCGCGCGCACTTTTATACAGAGTGTGCGTGTGCGCGTAATAAGTAAACGCCAGAGACACTACTATTATTATTATGTCGTTATCGCTCCGACAGACCGGAAACACTGTTTTTTTTTTTTTACGCACAACGTACATTGTACAGATAAATATTTGATTTTTGATTTTTTTTTTTTTTTTTTTTTTTTTATACACGACTAATATAACGGCGACGAAACGATATTCTCGCGGGTCCAAACGAACGGACACTGTAACAAGTAATAAGTAATAACCGTCTTGGAAAACGAATCGCGTTTCACAATATTATTTCCCCCGGAACGTCCAGTTTCTTGAAATACCGTTGTTAGCGGTAATACCGTAGCCCGTTGGCATATTACAGAATTCGTTTGGTTGGGTAAACGCGTAACTTTAATGTTTGTCTGTTCAGAGTTATATTTTTGTATATCGTTCAAATTCCGAAAACGAAAAAAAAAAAAAAAAACAAAACGAATCACAGGTAATGCGATATAGTTATTGCCCGTGGTATATTGTAATACGCGTCGTCTGTTTCCACGTGTATTTCTCCGCCGGCCATTCGACTTCACTACGTCAGTTGTGTACGGAACGAGTCTTTTACCCCTCCGGTCCAATATTCTCAATGGCATTGTGCCGGTATTGCGTTGCGGACCCGCGGGGACTAGGGAGGGGCGACGTGGGGCGGGTCGTATATTCGGTAAATTACGTCCCCCCCAAAACAAGGCCATAGTCAATATACCAGGTGAATTGCGGCCCGGCTGTATTTTGTGTAATACATCACGCGCCTAAATATTTTTCATTCGCACCTAAATTGTGTCAATATTTCCCTTCTCATTTTTCAGACTGGCGGCGATATTAATTGCTTTGGTCTTTTAGCAAACCGTAAAAACGAAATTTGAATTCGCCAATTCACTTTTAACGTTTAATTTCTCTCGCTTTTCATAAAGTTCATTTAAACTCGTGTGGCCAATCGAACACGATTTCACGATATTTTATGGCCGATCACAATTGCTGACGGTCGAATAAAACGCTGTGCGCTGTTCGTGCGGCGTCACGTTGTATTACGCACCCCCTCCCCGCCCCCCTCTCGTATGGATTTTACCGTGTCGAAATCCTCCGGGAAAACGGCCGGATCGCGGACCGCGGACAACGCGCGATCGCCGTCCCGCGCGACACGCGTGGCGCGCACCCCGGGCGGACGGGCGTGCGATGTTGCGTCGCTATCGGCCGTACTTACGGGAAAACAAACAAAAAAAAAAAAAAAAAACCGAACAAAACTAATAACGAAAATATTTTCCCGGCGTTATTATAATGCGATAATTGTTATCGCGCGCGTAGTGTTTCCGTAAATTAGCGTTTCTCGTGAAATTCTCGCGTCGCGCGCAATTAAAAAAATATTAAAAACTCGTCGGCCACGGGCGGTTATAATAATTTTCAAAAACACACTCAACGAAACATTATTATTGACGCGCCGCCGGTAATCGCGCCATTAACGGCGACCTCGATTCGGTCGTGGCGCGCGTACCAAAAACGATTATGACGGTCGGCAAACACCGTAAAACGAAAAACGCGCGCGTACGCCCGCGACCATGCGAGCGTCGTGTTGTTTGCGATTTCAGCAATTTTTTTCCGTTTTTTTCTCGTCGGAACAGGAAATATTTCCCCCACCCCCTCTCACCGCCTCTTCTAATGTGAAATTTTATCAAAAGTATCGTTTGTACCCCCACCCCCCCCCCCCCACAATCCCCCCAAATCGAAATTTGAATAATTGTGTTCGTCGAAACAACGGTGTCACGGCCGCGTTTGCGGACCTAAACGCGTATTTCCCCGTCCGACGGGCTTGGACCCAAAGCGCGTCGCCTTCGGAGCCTTTTGCCGTATCAACCGTCGGTGTGCCGGCCGGATTCGAAACCGAACCTGACATAACCGGCGCGGTCCGCGGCGCCCGACCGCCGCCGATCGACGACGAAATGTTCACGACTCGGCCGAAGGAGAAAATAAAAGAAAAATCAAAAGCATCTAAAAACCGCGTTATGGTTGAACTTGTTGCGCCGCGAGTATACACACGCCGCTTTTCGAATTCCGGCCGTCCGTTTGCGAACACTCTACAATCGGACATTTGAACGTTTACACGAAAATACACATTTTTATAGATAACCGCACGGTCAAATTAACGGCGCGTCGTGAGAACTGCCCGGCCGACGTCACGCAATACTGTCGACGGCCTATTGTTAAAAGGGCGCCCGGAAGAACGTTCACAGAGATCGGTTCTTTTTATAATTATTTTCGTTTTTACACCAAAAACGTATTTTTAGCGGTGCACGCCCTTTTAACAAAACACCATCCGTATGTGTGCGCTTCACGCTGTTTTTCGAGTCTGTTTTCGTAACGCGCTAACCGTGTCGCGGCGGAGACGGCCCGATTTCCGCGAGCGTTCCGCAGTGCGGTTGGACGTGCCGGATACGACGACGCGGGCGCGGTAAAATTAAAGGGGGAAAAAAAAAACAAACCGGACGACAGCGTTCAGTCGACAGCGACTGGAAATCGCGAGTCGGCCGGGATTCGAATTGACCGCGTCGCCCCCCCCCTCCCAACTCCGGCCCCGCTGTGCGCGCCGTACGCGTTTCGAATTGTGGTTGGGGGGGGGGAAATGAAAATCGACTCCGCTGCGTTCTCCCCCCATCCGACGGTTCGCGCGCCCCGGTATTGTGTACGCGTAGACGCTACAGCAACACGCGAACGACACGAAAGCGCGCGCGCGCCCGTCGCCGAATATTTCCGCGTCGGACACGTTCGACTCTCGCGATCGAGAATAATAACGCGGCGGGCGCGGCGAGCGAGCGGCCGGGCGAACGTTCAAAACGCGTCAACCCCCCCGCGCGCGCCGGACGCGTTATCCCGACCCGCGCGACGAACTATCGGACGTTCCGTTTCGGCGAGACGCGCGGAACACCCGAATCCGTATGTCCGGATGACGAACGGCGGCACGGTTTTCGCCCTCCCTCTCCCCCCCCACGGGGCTACCCGAGAAACGCGCGCGGGGAGGCGCGGCGCCCGACGCGGTGCCGCAGCTGTCGTTTACACCGTCCTTGTTCTCGGCCGTGTCACCGGCGTTGACGCCCGTGGTGATTACCGGTTGTCAAACGATATTTTACGTTCCGAAACGTAATCCCGGTAAAAATTTAACCGAATATTAATCCACGTGCGTACGTGCACGTATTTCGCGTAAATAATACTCGCTGTAGATTTTTCCGGTCCGTCGTGTCGCGATCGAATCGCACAGTGTCTTCTTCCCCCCCCCCCGGCTTTTATTTTCGGAGTCCGTACGTTAAACGGTCACGTAAATAAGCGCGGCCGGAGAACAACGGTCTCGGAGCTGATCGGCCGATTTCTCGATTTTATTCCGAAAATCGAACCGAGCGAGACGCATACGTTTTGAAATTGGCGACGTTATTACACGTGCGCGCTCGTGTTTCACGTCGATCATAAATCGCGAATAAAAATCAAACGATCACCGACAATGTGCACATACGTTTAAGTTTGATAATAGGTCAAACCGTAACGGCGTCCCTCCGCGGAGACGGCACGTGCGCAGGTTTAAACGTTCACTCGGCGGGGGCGTCGCGTCAGTTGTCGAACGGGGCCGGCGCAAACGCATTCGGATCCGGCCGATTTTTCTTCCCATTCACGATTATTATTCCCCGTTTATACTCGTGCACTCGCGTATTATCCCGTTTACTTTGCGGGACTGAAACCATTTCCCGCTCGCCCGTATTCCCCCACCTGACGTTTCGATATTCGAATACCCCGCATTCATTGACGCGCTGTAATACGCCAACCGGCACGCCGATGTGCAGCGTAAACCACGGCCGTTGTTCGGTTTTTTCGCCGGAACGCGCGATTCACTCCGCGCGACATCGCGCAGTTTCGACGCGGTTGCTCTTGCCGACGCGTCGGGATGTTCAGCCCGGGTAACGAACATTAACCGCGTCTCGCCCGCAGGCGCGACTAGATCACCGGCTCTGGGGGCGCCGAAATAATGGACGCGCCGAAGACCTGCGGAGGCTATGCCCCGCGAGTCCCCTTTACGCGGCTCTCGCGATGGGTAACCGCTGCCAGTGCGCGCGCCGCATACGCGGGAAAAATTGATAAAATTATTGTTTGTTTATTGTTACATTGCATTGCGTTTTATAATATAATATTTTTCATGTTAAGTAATTACACCTTTCATTTACAATGTTGTATTGACAAATTATCACGGATTGTTTTAACATTATTTTTCATACACTCGTGCAATGTCCGCATTTCGTTCTGCTCGTTAATTATGAAAATGTTTAGCCGTTACCGCGAAAAACCTGATTGGGTGTTTTGCAGGTGCTGATTTTAAACTCGGAAGTGTGCTAAAGACCCCCTAGCACTCCCCTAGTCGCGCCTATGCGTCTCGCGTATCACGTCCGATGACGCGCCTGTGAATTTCCAATGGCGTGGCGAGGCAGCAAAATAAGAACCGTGAACGAATCGTAAAATCATCTTCTCTACCCGACTCGACTACGGCCTACGGGAATTGGTAATTTAAAAACCGGATCCTAAAAAAAATTTCTAATCAATAGGTACATCAAGCTTTCCTCGTGACTTGCCTGAAATATATTTACGCTTTTCGATATTGGATTGCTCGTATTTTTTTTTGTATTTTTTAAGCCGATGGAGGATATAACCCC